AACAACCACAAAATTCCCCAAATTTTAAAAAATTCAATTCCCCTTTAACAATTAAAAAATAGGTGCAAAATGGAAGAAATTGTGTAAAATACACGTTTCTGAAGATATTTTAGAGCACTCATATCTTAGAAAATTCGTCTACTTCGCTGACCTGACCTGTTAAAGCACCCAAATTGAGTGTTTCAATAGCTTAATTGAGTTTTGTAATAGAACTAGTCGAATTTATGTTTTCTTGATTGGTAGTCATTACAAATATCACCGTGAAATAACAAATAAAACAGACGTCAAAAAAAACAAAATTATATTTTCGTACGCAGAACTAGATTTATTCGGCAATAATTCTGGGTACTACTTTGGGCAATTTCCCGTATTTCGAAGGAGGGAAAGGATTAAAACTGTCTTCAGCTTCACATATTGTCAATAAAAAAATTTAAACTTCAAATGTTACTAGCTGACATTGTCGTACCAACCACGACAAAATTCCCCAAAATTTTAAAAATTCAAATTTCCTTTAAAAATGGACAAAAAGGTCTCAAGTAGAATAATTAGTATAAATTACACGTTTCGTTAGACATTTTAGAGAAATAATTGTTCCTAGACACCGTTTATTTTCACATTGTTCAAATACATATCAAATCAAAATCTTATCGAGTATGATAAATGAAATTTTCAAGTAAGTTTCAGTCGCATCGTGACAATATTTGCAGTTCTCAATTCAATTTCAAAACTAGCGTAAAGTTAGTTACCGTCGGTGTGGGAGGTTACAATTTTAACCTCCTTGGTTATATAGCACTGGTTAATTAATGTTTGACGATTAATGAACTTGTAAGCCTCTTATTTTGGTTTAAATGTTCTAAAAAATGAGATGGGACCAACTTACGTGTTGTCAGAACTCCCGTTACTAAACTAATTATTGATAATAATCTCCTTGTTTGGCACTTCGCAGCACGCACTACCTCCAGATGCCTCGATGGTTCTAGTAAATCGTGCACATGATAAATAAGTAATAGGTAAGAGAATACGGCATGTGAGAAACAACGGCGGAACGTCGTGGAAAACGCAAGTGTTGAGGGTTGGCGTGAATGACAAGGGGTGAACGCAGATCGCTTTCACGCGGATTTGCACTCTCCATCGTAGCCGCTGATCCTTGCTGGGTCTGAACGCCGTTAATGGGGATTGGCGGCTCCGTAAATAGAGCGGCATTGAGCCTTCTTACCCGATAGACTCAAGATATCTACTCGCAGACTTGAACGTGACGCTTTCAAATTGCCCTTCACATTATGCTGATGTTGACGACCATCCATTTTAACGCCCGTTCGCTGAATTTTTTTCACGCATCCGCTACATTTTCCAATATAGGTTCGTTTAATAATCGTTCGCGTGACGTCACCGACTGCTCGGTGGGGATGAGTACACCGGTTTCGCAAAAAATTGCGAAACCACTTTCGCCGCTCCCTGCCAATCATCGCAAAATTGGATAAGTTTGGGGCCCAACTTTCTCATACCAGCTAATTCTATTCGCAGCGAAAGTTTCGGGGAGCATGGGAGCTGAAAACTTAATTATATTGCTTTAAAATCTGTGTTAATGTGAATCGCTTTAATTTTACATAAAGGCGTGAAGTTTACGAGTTTAGTGACTCGGCAAAGTTGAGGAGGTGACGAGAACTTCGGGAGAGCGAGATGGGAAAGGATGGTGGTGTCATGTTTGCGGCTGAACAACGCCAAAACTTGTAAAGAACATCGCCCTCTCAACTCGCACCATGTTCGCCAGCCCTTCCTATAAAGAAACAAGAACAAAACTGCCAAAAGCGTGAATCTTGCCGAAGTTATGTGCCACGTAAAAAGGGAAATTTCCAGGATGTTAAAGGTCCGACATATGCGTATATGTATCACTCTTTTATACACAGAATTCGTTAGCGTTTGTTAAACTTACTCATCCGCTGCGGAGAGCCAGTGACGTCACGTCAACTGCACTGTTAAATAAAACAGTCGCACGTAAATAACTTCGCGGGATTTTTTGAGGGAGCGCTTCGATTTTGAAATGATATGTTGTTATTGCCAGCGGTAAATCACCTTGTGATATACCGACGATCCAGATAATCTGTTTAGGCTTACATTCAATAAAAAGCACTTTGTGATAGGAAACACTCGATACAGAAGGGTCACACGCGGAGTGTGTATATCAACACAGGGATGGAATAAATCGAATCCTTTGTCGCAGGAATAATATAATTAATACCCTGCGGCGCTGATCTGTAATTCAGGCACTTGTCAATAATTCTTTTATTTACAGCCGGCGTTTTTCAACAAATGTCCTCTGGTCAATACATCATTTCGTGTGGAGGTGTTTTAAAATTCGCCATGGTATAAAACAAATTTTAAGGGGGTGATTAATCCAGAAATGCGGTGTTATTGTGTGTTGGATTTGGCTATTTTGAACCAAAGCCGGTTTATGCCAACGTGCACCTTAATATTAATTAAAGGACAAACGTAAAACTACAAAACTTACGATTGGGTACTTTTGCCAGAACAGGAGGCACAAACAGAACAAAAAACTGTCAGTAAACGGCGGTTTTGAAATTTTCGTATAAAATTGATTTGAATTTACTTCTTGATGTGCTACCAGGTAAGGTTAAAATGATAATCACGAATCTCACTATTACATTCGCTCTTTGAAGCGAGATATCTCGTAAGAAAGACGACTGAAAATTTAGTTAGGTTGGTTAGCTTGAATTTTTAAGAAGAATAGTTTATAATCAATTTTTTGTTTAAATAAGGTATTTATTGAAGATTATAAGAAACTGTTAAACTTTGTCCTTACGGAATTCAAAATGTCCAGAAATTAAATGAACAATTTGATGAAGAAAAAGAAGCCATTTCTCGGAAATTTTAATTATGCAAATGTGGAAACATGAAAAATCTGATTATTTTCTTAACTAAAATTTTTGTTAATTTTGATGTTAATGTTTAGATGAAGATAGAGATTAAGATTTTAGGGAATTACTGCAAAGAAAAGTAATATTTTGAACAGGATACAGACATTTTTCATATAAAAGATTTTTTAATCAGAGGAATGACACAGAACAGCAACAGGAACACTTTTTATTTGCATCAATCGTGGTTCAGTTTGGAAATAAAGATGTTAAAAACCAAAAAACAAATTTTATTAAAAAATGTTACATATGTAGTTTTTAACATTTTTTATTTCGTTAGTTTATTTTGCTATGAGAAGCTTTTTCAAATATTTTTCTCACAATTTAAATCAGTGCCGGATTGAGGACTTGGAGGTCCACCGGGAAATTTACACAATACAAATGAAGTTTGGATATTATTATTACTATTATTATTTTTAGCTTTTCTGTCGACATTGGAATTTTAAAAAAATAATGTTTTTGGAATTTTGATGACGCTACCAAGAAAAACAAAGATAGTAAAAAATTGTGGGAGGTCATTTTGACAGAACTTCCCTCGCCCTTGAAGTATGGTCCGATAAATTCCACTTTTTTAAAAAATTATAAAATTAGACTACGATTTTCTTTTTGTGATAACTCTTAATCTTTATAAAGTTGCGTAATTAATGATAATGAAATTTATTTAAAGCGGATAACTAACGGGAAAAATGTAGACTACTAGCACGAACTTTAGAAAAAGAAAATGAAATTTGGTTGACTTTGTGTCCTCAATGCAGAGGAAAGGACTGACTGGTTAATTCATTGTCAATTTTTTCCCAAACACTCTCCTAAATTTGAAGAAATTTGGCAAAAATGTAAGTTAACGGTCAAATTTTGTCTAACGATTTACCATGTTTCAAATAATCTTAAAATATTTGCACGATTTCACAGCATTCGGTTTTTGCAAGTTAAATTGTAAAATATTGTTATATGTTGATTTTTTTTCAAAAATCTGGATGCTAAGGAAGAAAACTCAACACGGAGTCATAAATCACAATGCAGGAATGTTACTTGATAAAATTTAGTTCGGCAGAATTCTAAGATGACGCTATAATTTTTTAGGAAGGCCTTAAACGAACAAATTTTGATTAACGATTTATCATCTTTCCTATAATCTTAAAACGTTTGCAGTATTTCAGTACATTCGCTTTTATAATTTTAAAGTTAAATTGTAAAATACTATTTTGAATTTTTTCCCAAAGATCCCGATGTCAAGGGTAAAAACACAACACGGATTCTAAATTACACATACATGGAGTAGCAGTTCTATAAAATTTAAGAAACATTTGCTCTACAAAATTATAAAATGACGTCACATGTCACAGGTCATAAACGAAAAAATTTTGATAACGATTTACTATGCTTACGATAATCTTAAAAAACTTGTAAGATTCAAAATTTCAAAATTAGATTGTAAAATGTTCCACAATTTTGATTTTTTCCCCAAAAGTATGGATGTCTAAGGTGAAAGCTCGACACGGATTCATGAATCATACATGCAGGAGTATGCAATAAAATTATATAATGCCAAAAAAGGGACAAATTAGTAATAAATAAAATGTTACGCTTCACCCTACATTTTGTTTCTTAATTTATTATAAGGTGCTTTATATATTTTTTAACAGGCCAATTTTGACTTTGAAGTGTTTTATTTTTATAAAAATCTCAAAGTCAGCGGTTTCTGTATATATGGACCCGCTGGAATCATGGTGAAAATCTTTAGAAATCCACAAATTTTTAAAAAATAACCTTAAGAATGGGGTGAAATGTTATATTTTTTATAAAAAAAAAAAACAATAAAAACGCCAACATCAAAATTGGCCTGTTTGCTTAAAAACATGATAAAAGTTCCTTAAATTAGATGATAAAAAAATGTGGGGTAACATAGATGTAGCCTATTTTGGGGAAAATATTAATCGCCAAACAATCGAAAAACTTTGACATATTTTTTTACGCAGTGAGTATAGTTCTTTCGATAATTTAGTGCTACATGTGTCTTCACACAGTTATACAAAATATGACAACGTTGACAAAATATTTTCTACTTACCGTCTTTATTCATGCTGGCCTGGAAACACTTGGACAACCGACAAGCCCGGCACTGATTACGATGCGTCTTATCAACAGGACACCTTCCTTTCATATCCCCCGTCGCCTTGCAGGTGTAAACGCGATTCCTGTGGATGCTTCTCTTGAAGAAACCCGAACACCCTAAATTCCCAAATTTGTATCCACACCTACTCCTATTTAATTTCTACTTTACCGTCGCAGCTGTAGATCCCGTAATGTTTGCCAGAGCTCCTGTCCCCACACACTTTACAAGGAATATCGAGGAGTCTGTCTCCTGCAAAAACGCCAACAAACAATCCGTTAAAAAATGCTTTAATCCAAAAACGAAAAAAAAAAAACGTTCCCGAAAACATTTCTGTATAGATTGTGCATGGTGGAGAAGTGTTTAAACCGGAACTATTGCAGAAGCCGTAATCTCGAATACATGGCGAATTCCGTTTATGGTCTGGTAAACTCCGTAGCCATAGCGACTCCTGCGTTTCTTGGACAATGAGGATTAAAGTCCTATACCGAGATGCCTTTGAAGTTTAACGTGCTCACGAGAGGATGTTTGTTTCTTGATTTTGTGTCTTAGCAACTTCCATTTCATGTTGAGTAAATATTTGATTTTAAAGATTTCTCTGATCCCTTCCACGGAAAGACGGATGGTCTCTTTGGGTTGCAAATGCGATGTAATTTAACTAAATACGCTTGTGCGGAGCGGCAAAATTGAGGGTACCGGTGGGCTATGGCGTTTTTATAGTGCTGCTAGTTTGTGGGAAATTGTAATCACTGTTCTATCAAGTTCTGGGTTATGTCAAGGATCAAATTTAGGCCGCTGCTATTCAGTTTTTATAATGACACTTCGTATTTTGTAAAAATTAATCGATAGCCACAAATGCGACGCCAAAACTAATTTATTGTTTTAGAGTTACCTCAATTTTTTGTTTCCATTAGTAAAAAAGAAAAAATACGCTATACTGAAGATATGTCATCATTTATAACAAGTGAGAAAGCGTTTCTTCTAGACGATATATTTTTGAAAATTTTTTATTTCGGTTTCACTTATTTTTTAGATGTATGAATTTTATGTGCCATAATCAAAGAAGCGAATCTAAAATTAGCATAAAAATTAAATTTTCACTTCGTTTTTTTGTGTCTTGTTGAAGTGAATTTCGTTGTAAATCACTCAAAATATATAAAATCTGCTTTGGTGGTCCTTATATAGGACCCGGGTGGGTTAGGTAGCATCGCGCTTGCCTGCCACACCTTGGGTCGTGGGTTCGATTCCCGCCCTGCTCTGGGTGTTGTGTATGTCCCCCGTTACCCTGTAATTGGGCCTCCGGCCTGTTGGGTAACGTTAACCAATAAAATAAAAAAATAAAAATAAATAAAAATATATAGGTAGAAAAATGTCTAAAAAAATTGTGTTGACAATTATCTAAAAACCTACCGATTTCTGAAGAAGTTGATACATGAATCTTATACAAATTATCATAAAATTCAATTCTACTGATTCTAATAATGTAACTTTTACAGTCCTGATGTTTTTCAATTTACATCAAAAAAATCTTTCTTTGTTGCTTGCACAAAAGGTGTATTGAAACTTTTAACGTGAGTTTTTTTTTATTATTAAAAATCTTAAAGTCAATCACTGGCAAAGCTGTAGAGTATGTTTGAAAAGATTTTTGTAATGAAAAAATATTTAATAATTTGTCTTTGAGTTAAAAATTTTAAAAACTTACAGCTTTTGTGCAAGTAACACAGAAAGATTTTTTTGGCAGAAATTTAAAAACACTAGTTCAGTAAAATTTATATTGTTAGAACCAGTATTGTTTGGTTATATTACAGTTAAAAATCTAAGACAAAATTTTGTATAGTTTTTGAAATATGATGTGATAGAGAACCGAATAACACAATTCTAAAATTACGAAAATTCAAAAAATAATTCGATATACTGTGAAATTTAAGGCGAACAAAAACAGCATGACATAAACTTGTGTAAGATTCATGTGTCAATTTCTTCAGAAATCCGTAGGTTTTTAGATACTTGACAACACCGCTGCCAAGTCACAGCGGAACGGATTTTAAACGATAATTGTGCGTAAGTTATTTTCAAAAGTTGTAATATAATTTTTTTAGTTTTTACAATTTTTCTAAAACTACTGTCATGCGACGGTTTTCCAACGACGCGACGTCTGTTAGACCCGTCACTTTGGCTCTTAGTTTATGAATTCTGAAATGTAATTAAATAGAACTACAGATTCTAAAAAAAATTCGTCCAATTACTTCCAACACGTAAATTGTACCCAAAATTTAATAAGAAAATACTTGTACGAAATGGTGCAAATTTAATTAATTCTAACATAAATTTTCTTCCTTCAACAAGTGGTGACACTCTCGTGGTCAAAATTTAAACACCATGCACGACACAGCTCCACATTTTTTAGTAGTCACAATCTCAACTAATTACAACATTTAAAAATTGTTAGAAAAATCTAAATCACACATCCTTACCTGTTCCCATCCTCCGGCCTTGACCGGACCGAACCTTTCCCCAAATCGAAGAATCTATTTTGCCGTCTTTTGATCAAAAACGAGAAAAAGACGAGGACTTCGTCCGCTCCCAAACAACACCCCCCAATTCCCAAATAATCTTGCAATCAAACCGAGAAAACTTTTAAAACTGGCGGGAAATCCTGCAACAATTCTGCCACAGAATGTGGTTGAAGAGGAAACGCGACTATCCGACTGATCATGAGCCACCGGTCTTCAGTCCGCAGGCCATTTTGTCACACCCCTACTTGCTATAATGTCATCCCCTCTCCTTCCACTCCAACCCCTTCGCAGCACGAGGCTAGGGAAACCAGGTAGCTTTTTACTCCATCAGAGAGTCCTACTCGAGCCAACGAGCACCAACAATCAAACAAATGTCGATAATAAAATTAGCAACAAAAAATTAATTATTGAAAAAATTACAGCGGAAAGGGGAAAACGCGTCAACCCCGAGTTTTCGCCCACCCCCAAAACTATCGGGACAATTCGACGTAAACTTAACAAGAATTTTCCTGCAAACGCGGTTCCTACAGACAGTAAATCGGCGGCAACATCTAGTGACCCGTAATTGTAAAGTGTGGGAAGATGCAGGTGGGCGTAACGACTTGGCGGGGTTGCTCTGGAGGGCGTGTCGCTACCCTTAGCCGGGCCAATCACAGCCGAGGGTAGGTGAACGTCAGTTACAGTCACATAGCTTCTCGCTTCAACTGAAGCCTGAAACGTGCTTTAGTTAAATATTTTTGCTACATTTCATTTTCCGCAAAAACTGCAAAGGATCTATTTTTGGTTGATGAAAGGAGGCGCGTTTTCAGGGCGAAAAGTGTGCGGTGGCTGTGTTCGATACACCGGCAACACCTAACTTTAAACCCTTGCAATAAGTTACTAATCCTACCAGTGCTGCGGCGAAAGGGTTGCAGGACCGAAGTTTGCTCAAGGATTTACTCATTTACCGCTCCGAATTTGGGGTTCGAAATATTGCAGGAAGTTGAATTAAGGAGCGGCGCTGCTCGGGAGAGGAATTTGCGAAAAATAACTTCTTATTGGAATACTAAATTGGCCCGGAGGCCAATTTGGGAGGGCTGGGGGCTGGGACTGTTGATATTGGGACTTAACAAAATTATTGACATTTCTAACCATATTTTATTATTTTTTTATTCGTCTAGAGAGAATGTCGCATAAAGCACACAAAGTACAGAATTCGCAAATTTATTTTTAATTTGATATACTTTATTAAAATCTGCATGTAAATACCTACAAATGATTTATAAAACATACACCAGTAGTTTTATAATCTTAAGAATTATTTTCAATTTGTTACAAATAACAAATTAAAAATCGTAAACTCAAAATATTAAGATGGCGATGTTATAAATATTATCAATATTCTCAAACACAATTTTAGCCAAAAATTAACTCTTTTTGCCTTGTTCATTTCAAAAATTAACAGAAGCCAATGAAAATGAGCGTAATTTTTAAATATAACTAATATACTGAAGTACACAAATTTTCCAAAATGGAGATTAATTTCTTCCTTACCTGCTGATGTCATTTTATTTATTTTAGAATACTGAAGTTAAAGAAATGAAATATTAAATTTCAAAAAGTAGGTATTTATTTCAAGAATCCGAAGAAATTTTTGTATGGAATAGAAAATTTGACACGAAATTATATATATATATATACGTGATCTGAAGGAAATTTCTGACAAGAATAGTCTGCTTTCGCTAAAACCAATTTAAGTAAATTTCAATTTTTGTGGAAAGTGGTGGAGGCGCCGGGATAAAAAAAATAAAAAACTTTAAAATGATGCATTTTTTAAAACTGAGCGAGCACAAGTTTTAATTATACTTAAAGTCATACCGTTTTTCAAAATTTTTGAACGTAATTTGATCCTTAGCCGTAGATGTAGCATAGTTTATTTTACAATAATGAAATCAAATTAAAATTTTTTTTTTTTCTAAGACAATTAAGAAGAAAACAAGTTATTTAGAACGTATGGTAAAACAGTACAACCTTTATAATCCGAACCCACGACTATCCGGACAAAAAACAATGCAATCCGAACTGAACATGCACCGACATGCAAAAATTACGCAATACCTTCTACACCTGTTGTATTTATTTAATCTGACTAAAATGTTGAAGCGTAAACAGATCACATAATACGACCAACAAAAGTGCGATATAATAACCAAAATTAATGATTGAAGAACTGGATTTAGCCAAGGAATATAATGTTAAAAAGTCCACCATCTGTGGTATCAAGAAAAAGAAAACTGCTACAACTTCCTACGTTTCATCTGCAGAAAATGGTTCAGGAGTAAAGAAAATTCTAAAGTTGTGCCAAAATCCTGACACAGAATCTCCAATTTTCACATGGTTTCTGCAACAAAGGGCGCAACATAACGTAAGAGAAATTTCATTGAAAAAATCGTCTAAAAATTCACAAAAAAAATTCAGGGTTATAGATCTTCATGTGTTGTTTCGAAAAATATATACTGTTTAGAGTCACGGAGCAATATTTTCGAAATATTAGCTGTGAAATGCGATTTTTTTTTTTAAATCGCGATATTTCAAAGGGCGATTCTGGAAATGTCTTCTGCCAGCCAAAATCCACAAGAAAATGGATTTAGTTAAATTTCAAAAATCGTCAAAAATGGGTTGAAATTTGCAAAAGGGTGGAAAATTTCATTCTTGAAAAAGTCGTCTAAAAATTCTCAAAAAATTCGGGGTTATAAACCTTCAAGTGCTGATTCCAAAAATATATAGTTTTTAGAGTTACGGAGCAATATTTTCGAAATATTCGGTGTGAAATTCGAATTTTTTTAAATTGCGATATTTCAATGGGCGATTCTGGAAAATCGGTTGGAGTTATCAAAAAATGATGAAAGTGTAATAGTAATAAATTTTAAAACTGTTTATAAACTATACAAGACTGAGGAACAAGAAGATCAAATTGTTTAAAAACCATCGTTTCAAGAATTTTTAACAAACTTGTGCTGTTAAAGTGTAGCTCAAACTCACTGTAGCATTAGTCAGAAATTCACCTAGTTGATGTATAACAACAAGACAACACCTCAGTCTTCCTAGTACCTACGTAAAAACCCTATAGTAAAATTAAAATATAAGTAAAGCGGCAAACCGCCGTCCAAATAAATTTAATCTGAACCCTTCATTAATCTTCGTCCTCAAACATCCAGTCGATCATTTAACACGGCGGCAGAACTTCGCGACAGCCGCCGAAGCGTTTGACGTATGAAAAGAACGAATTAATGTATCTCCCGCAAATTCGATATCGCATTCTGGATTCATCATGTTATCAGCTCGTATTAGCAGAAAGTGTCTCTCGCCGGTTCCATTGAGAAGCTAGGTGTTCATTTGTCACCAGGTATCGTCTGGTGGAGTGAGACACGGTGTAGCACTAAGTAATCCCGAACCGCAGACAATGGCGGTGAGGAAGTACTCCACTCAGACCTCGTGACAGTCGCATCTTCCATTAGCTCTGAATATGACACCCTTGAACGTCATTATTTAAATGTGAGTGCTCTTGTCGAGGGAGGAACCGAGTGATAAAATGCGCACGAATATATCAGCACGACGTGGATGGAAATGGGTTACCTTAATTAACTTGTAATGACGTGGCGAATGCTATCTGGAAAGTAAGAGTGGTAACAGGGGGCGGGGGTGGAAATTTGGGGAGCAGGTGGCAAAAGCTCGCTCTGTCGTTGTTTATTTATTCCCAAACTTTGTTTTCCATGTTTTTTCATAGAAATCCGATCACTACACATGCGACACCCCCTGCCTGCGTCATTAGCGCACATCCTTCGTTATTTTCCCAAGATTAGCGTTCAAGTGGGGGTGGCGAGCCGCCTTTTTGTTCCAGGCCTTGCCTGCGATAGACAGAAAGAATTGATTGTCGGTATATAAACACGGGTAGTGAGCGCGTGACACCGAAGCGATTGTTGACACGGGGCTGCCGGAGTGGGCACAGGGCGTTGTTGTCCTGTGTAATCCCGGGAACGTGTCTTCCGGGCTGACCCACGGACTGCTGCATGTCAACACCTCACACCATCGCCACCATGTCACAGTTCATGTTACGTTTCTAATCCCACTGTAATGGATAACATGCCCGACCTGTACATAATCGGATAAATTAACTAATTTTCAATGTATACATTATCATACGATGTTTCCGGCCACTGTAAATATTGCGCAAAATTGAATTTGATTGATTAGCGATACTTATAAACAACGGGTATTTGTTTTAAATCTTATTAATTTGATGCGTGGTGGAGACTCGGAGAGGTTACCCGCTGAAAAATCACCACAGCAAAATATTCCAAGTTCTAATAAGTTACTCGAACTTGTTGGGGTTTTTTGTTAGTCATCTGTGACTTATCCGGAGAAGACACTAGGGGTTTGACCGACATTTTGTGTTCTAATCAAATTTTCCTTAACAACCCACACATAAAGTAAACTAAACAAAGAAAAAAAAATTCTGTACTCTAAACATATTTAAGAAAAATAAGAAAGTAAGTACCTACACGTTTGATTGACTCATGCATTAGCATTACCGAACTTTTAGCGCATCCACTGGTGTAATTTATATTTTCAAGTTTGGTAGCTGTTACAAATGTCGTGTCATACAGCAATAGAAAGAAACGTTAAGAAATTTTTCTCAAAAAGATGAGTCTATACTTTTAATTTATCATTGCTTTCATATTTTTTAGATTTGTTTATACGGGGTGACTAAAAGTTAATGAATGAGTCAATTTATAGAACGGCTTACTCCGTTTTCCTGAAACAATGCTGTTATTATTAGTATTACACTGCACCTACCCTTGGTAATATACGTGTCTTTGCAAAAATGTTGATGACGTCATCACAAAATTTTGTAAAGTAAAAATTCATTTGAAACATACGCATTGCACGCATCTTTACATTTACTTTAACGTTATATACTTACATATT